TATCCCCATGTTCTGGTCTATCAACTGCCTCTTATTCTATGTACATATTCCTCATGAGCATAATTTAGTGTTCTAGAATACTCATTCTCAATGTTATCCATAATTTGTCATGATCTACATACCTAAGTATGCTTTAATTATAACTTATTGAAAAATACATAAAACTATAAAACTTACTTAGCATTAAAATGAATTTCTATGGGTTCCATAGTGTGTGTGTATACTTATACAAGGAATTCTTAGAATCAGCTCCTGATAAGATAATTTAATTAATAAAAGTAATCAAGAAAGCAAAGATATTTCTGTCATAAATTATACTCATTGGGCCTACATTTATGTTTTAATACTTATTTGTTTATCTTAAAGGAATAAACATAGTAAAAAAAATTCAAAGACTTTGAAAAGGTATAAAACAGAAAACTGCACCTAACTACTTGGAAAATAGTTTGGTCATTTCTTACAACACGAAGTATAGTCTTTACATTTGATCCAGCAATCACACTCTTCAATATTTACTTGCATGAGTTGAAAACTTTTGTTCCCAAAAATCCTGTATAGAAACATTTGTCTTTGTTGTTGTTAAGTGTCATTGAGTCAATTCCAACTCATAGTAACCCTGTACAGGGTTTCCAAGGAGTAGCTGGTGAGTTTGAACCACTGTTCTTGTGGTTTACAGTCCAGTGCTTATCCTACAGTACCACATACAGATATTTAAAGTAGATTTACTCATAATTTCCCAAACTTGGAAGCAGCCAAGATGTTCTTTAATGTGTGACTAGATAAACAAACTTTGGTGCATCCATACAATGGAATATTACTCAGCTATAAAAAAGAAAGAACTATCAAGTTATGAAAAGATATGTAGAAAATATAAGTGCTTACTGGTAAGTGGGAAAAAAAGTCCACTAGAAAAGGCTACATGTACTTTATGATTCCAACTGTATGACATTCTGGAAAAAGCAAATCCATAGACTGTAAAAAGATCAGAGGTTGTCAGGAGTTTGTGAGTAGCAGGGAATAGATGAAGATGTGGAGCACAGAGGATTGTTAACATGGTGAAACTGTTCTGTATGCTATTGTAATGGTGAAACATGACATTATGCATTGGTCAAAACCCATTGAACTGTACAACACAAGCAGTGGATTCTAATGTAATCTTTGTTAGGTGCCATCAAGTCATTTCCTACTTACAACAAACGTATGTACAACAGAACCAAACACTGCCTAGTCCTGCTCCATCCTCACAACTGAGGCTCTATTTAAGCTCATTGTTGCAGCACTGCATAAAGTCACTTCCTTGCTGGTCTTTCTCTATTTCATTGACTCTCCACTTTACCAGGGACTGGTCCTTCCTGACGTTATGTCCAACATCTGTGAGATGATGTGTCACCATCCTTGCTTCTAAGGAGCATTTTGGCTGTACTGCTTCCAAGATCCATGGTAAATTCATCATTCTTCACCAAAAACCATAATATAAATGCATCAATTCTTCTTCAGTCTTCCTTATTCATTGTCCAGGTTGCACATGCATAAGCGGCAGTAAGAAATACCTAGGCTTGGGTCACGAGTACCTTAGTCCTTAAAGTGGCATTTTTGCTTTTAAATACTTTAAAGAGATCTTTTGCAACAGATTTGCCCAATGCAATATATAATTAAATTTTGACTGCTGCTTTCATGGGTTTCGGTCCAAGTAAAATGAAAAGTTCAACAACTTTAATATTTTTTTCCATGTGTCATGATGTCATCAGGCCTTTTGTTTTCTTTATGTTGAGGCATAATTCATACAGAATGCTGCATTCTTTGATATTCACTAGTAAATACTTTATTGTTATTGTTGTTAAGTGTCATAGAGTCAGTGCCAACTCATAGTGACCCAGGAGAAGCTGGTGGGTTTGAACCACTGACCTTGTGGTTCAAACTGACCTTGTGATCCAGTGCATTATCCTGCAGCGCCACACCAGGACTCCAGTAAGTGCTTTAGGTCATCTTTATTTTCAGCTAGCAAGGTTGTGTTATCCGCATATTGTAGGTTGATATTGAATCCTCCTCCAAACCTGTTGTTGTTGTTGTTGTTAAGTGCCATCGAGTCGGTTCCGACCCATAGAGACCCTGTAAAGGGTTTCCAAGGAGCAGCTGGTGAGCTTGAACCACTGACCTTGAATTCAAATGGCCTTGAAGTCTGACACATTAACCCACAGTGCCACACCAGGACTCCTCCAAACCTAGTGCTCCATTTTTCTTCATAAAGCACAACTTTAGGATTATTCTAAGAATTATCTAAACATTAAAGGTTGGGTTGTTGTTGGTGGTAAGTGTTGTTGAGCTGATTCCAACCCAGAGCGACCCTGCATAGGGTTTCCAAGAAGCAGCTAGTGAGCTTGAACCACCGACCTTGCAGTTCAAACGACTTTGCAGTCTGATGCATTAGCCCACAGCGCCACACCAGGACTCCAAAGATTGGGTACATATGGTGAAAGGTTACAACATCTTTCATGATTTTAAGCCATTTTGTATCCCCTAGTTCTGTTAAAACAACTCTCTTCAACTATGTATCGGTTCTATTTGAGAACAATTGTTGTTGTTCTTAAGTACCATCGAGTCAGTTTAGACTCTTAATGACCCAGAGTTTCCAAGAAGCCACTGGTGAGTGTGAGCCACTGACTTTGCAGTTCAAACCGACCTTTTGATTCTGCACTTATCCTATAGCACTACAACAGAACGCTTCCCAATTTATCCTTACTTTGTAATGAGCCACACAAGCAAATGTCTTTGTATAGTGAATAAAACACAGGTAAACATTGTTCTGGTAGTCTCTGTTTTCAGCCACAATGTATCTTACAACAATAATGATATGCCTATTCCACATCCTCTTCTAGATAGGGCTTGAATTTCTGGTCGTTCCCTCTCCATGTACTGTTGCAAACATTTTACTATTGACATAGATTCCAGCATCACAACAACATGTAAATGACCACAGTATGATGAATGGTCAGATGATTGGTGGTGACAGATGAGTAGTGGACTTCAGTTAATAGTAATACATCAATACTGGTTCATCAGTTGTAACAAATCTTCCAAACGAATCCAAGATCTTAATAATAAGAGGAACTTTATGTAGGAATGATATGGAAACTCTCTTACTATATAGCTATATATTTTTCTGTAAAAGCAAAACAATTCTAAAAATCAAGTCTACTACTTAAGGAGAACTGACGATGCTGTAGGATAAGCACTGGACTGCTAACCACAAGGTTGGTGGTTCAAATCTACCAGCAGCTCCATGGGAGCTGTATTAGTATCATGCCTGATACTATAAAGATTTACAGTCTCAGAAATCTTACATAAGGATGCTATGAGTCAGAATCAACTTGATAGCAGTGGATTTGGTTCTTTGGTTTATTAATTAAAAGAAAAGTAATAGATATACATGGTTAGAAAAATTCAGAGTTTGGAAAGTTACAAAATAAAAAAATTGATACCAACCCATGCCTGCAAAGCTGACACCATTATCAGTCTCTTATGTTTCTGTCTTAGCTCTATTTAAGGCATATATAGGCATATTCTGCCCCTTGACACTGTATAGAAATGGGGCCTAGCCTACACAGTTATTTTTTTCATTTTAATGGAGATCTTTCCATGCCAGTTAATAAGAATGCATATTTTTCCTTCTCCTTTCCCTAACATTGAGATCTCAACTTTTTAACTTTTGGTATTACAAGTGAGAGATAATATAGAATTGCTATTTTAATATGCATTTTGAAGACACGATGAGAATTTTACTATTTTTATCATATATTTGCAGTCTATGAACTATTGGTTTTTCCTGTATCTTTTTCTTTTTTGTTCATCATTTTCTTAATGATTAGTAAGATCCCTTTATTGATAAAGAAATTACAGTTTGTTATGCATATTCCAAATAAACTCCTCCATTCATTAGTCATAATTTGTCTTTTTCATGGTATTACTACTGTACAGGGAGACCTGGTGCAGCACTGTGGGCTAATGCATCAGACTGCAAAGTCGTTTGAACTGCAAGGTCGGTGGTTCAAGCTCACCAGCTGCTCCTTGGATGCCCTATACAGGTTCACTATGGGTCAGAATCAACTCGATGGCACTTAACAGCAAGAACAAAAACTATTGTACAGAAAGTTTATATTTTGGCATAATCAAATTTATCAACCTATTTTTTGTCTTTTATATTTAATGGATATTTTAAAAGGATGTCTCATCTTATGACTTTTTTTTTTTAATCACCCATGTTTTATTTTATCTTAATCCCTTAATAGTTTCTCTGATTTAAACCTTTGACCCAGCAGGGATTTATTTTGGTATGAGGAGTAAGGTAGAGATTCAGATAGTTTCTAGATAGCCAATTGCCCAGCAACTCTTATTTTTCCTGTCTGTTGGAGTCCTGGTGTGGCACTGTAGGATAAGCACTGGATTGCTAAATGCAACATCTATAGTTCAAACTCACCATCACTCCTCAGAAATGCTATGACACATAACTTTCTTGATGGCACTTACCAACAATATTGCATTCTCCTCCTAAAAATTCTTTCAGGGTAATTTCACAAAAAAATGACTACTACATGTACGTTGATACTCTAAAGTCTGTATCTGTTTTCCATTTAATCTTCCCATCTTCAAATTTGTGTACTTGCTCAATATTTCTACTTGAATATATAAGAAGCACTTCAAATTCAATATGTCTAAAACTGAGAATGGCATTTTATTTCCTAAAGCTTTTCCTGCTTTCTATATTGTAGAACATAGAAATGCAAAAAAATCATCCCTACTTGTCAGTCAGGCAATTGTGAATTACAGTGCTCACATCAACTATTTTTGAGCACAGTACATTCTTTATGACATACCTTTGATCTCTCATATGATAGAAGGTTTTCAGGGGAGAAATTGTGGCTTATTTAGTTTTGACTACTCACAGTGCTTGGAACAATAAATTGCAAATGGTAGGCACTCAGGAAAACCAAGGGAATGGAAATGTGACAATATTTACTGAGAGTGTCAGATTAGAATTTTATTAGATACTATACATAAACAGATCAAGGAAATAGAGGAAATTAGATTCTGAAAGTTATGAGCAAGAAGTTGAGTGGTTCCCTATAATGGAAGGAATAAATCCCTTAGTTTAGGGGATGGTGGTAAGAAGAAGATAATGACATAGGAAAGAAAATGCAAAGTTTTGAAAAGTTGACTGTTGTTTCATGCCTCAAGTCAGTTCTGACTTATAATGACGCTACATTACAGAGTAGAACTGCCCCTGAGGGTTTTTTTAGGTTGTAATCTTTATAGAGCAGATTTTCAGGTCTCTTCTCACATGGCGCAGCTGGTAGGTTCGAACTGTTGACTTTTGGTTAGTTGTCTAGTGTTTCAACATCACACTACCTGAGCTCCCCTAAAATATGATTAAACTGAAAAAAAAATCCTAGTTAAGTATGGACTTTATCCTAGAAAAGAAAGCTTGCCAAGTTCCCAGGCTCTTTCCAGAGAAAATGCAATGTTCATATTGTCTGCTGAGAAAAGCAGATTCGAACTCCTGGGAAGATGTTTTCTATCCCAACTTACTCTTCCCCTCCGTCCAGTTTACTGGGCCAGGAAGGACTCTTCATCAAGTGGCACTGAATATATCAACTAGCCAGCAGCTATGAGATGACCTGACTTGAAACGGGGACAATGTGGATTAACCAAATCATCTTATCCTCTCTCTTGAGAAGTCTGCTATTGAGACATGGGAAGGAGAATCACCAGTTAGTAGCAGAAGAGATGACTAAAATATACTCTCAGGAAAAAGAAGGGGCAGATATAAGAGGATTTACAGAAATAGAAAGGACAGGATGTGGTGACTGACCAGATATATGATCTAGCATGAAGCCAAAGTATAAATAAAAGCACCCATTATTTAGTCAGAATGACTGAGGTAGCAAGGAGTTTCATGACTCAAAATGGCAAACTTATAAGGAGTGGTAGGAAAAGAAATAAGAGCCAGTTTTGAATATATTAAATTTGATTAAGTGAGCCAAAACTCCAAACCAAGATATGCCTGTGTGGGTTTGCAGAAAACATTCAGGTTGACAAACCTACAATAGGTGATACAATCAGAATTGATATAATCCCCAAGAGAGAAAGGCTACCAAGAAGAGAGGACTGAGGGAGAGGTTTGAGAAATGCTCTGTTTAGTGAAAAAGCATAGGAAGGGGACTCAGTGAAGAGGCAAAAATTGTTGACAATGAGTTACCAGCAGTTGGCCGTATCATGGTAACTAGGGATGGAATGGCAGTATGTGTGCATCTCATCAAATGTTCAGAGCAGCTAAAGTGGATAAGTCTTAAGACAGAACCATGGGGTTGAGTGATTAAGAGGGCCACGTTTATTATTAACAGAACACTCTAAGTGGCATTGCTAAATGTTTCAAGGAAGTGGAAGGCAGTGGAAAGAAGGAATGCATGATAACATGAAAAATGCAAGATTGCATTTAAGAAAAGGTAAGCTTAGTGTTCTCATTTATTTTTTAATAATAGGAGAATGATTGACATTTTTTAAAAGATAACTGATTAAAACAGAATGAAGATGAAAGTTGATGGAGTTCAGGAAACAAAATCTGGGCAAAGAATTATAGGAGGGTTATACAAGTGGACTTTCAATGTTTGTGGGAAAATTCCATTATCTTTTCATCCCATTTTCCCATGAACTATACGAATCCCCTTGTATAGTTGTAAATGTCACACTCCATGAAGATTGTAATAAGTATAATAACCCATTAAATTAAATTCAGACTCATATGTGATTAGTGTTCTGGTACTGTGTTGTTGTTGTGAAGTGCCCGGGAATCGGTTCCGACTCACAATGACAGTGTATAAGGTTTCCGAGGAGCAGCTGCTGAGTTTGAACTGTCAACCTAGAGACTCAAATTGATCTTGTAGTCCAGCTCATTATCCTGCAGCTCCACACCATGACTCCTAGTTAATTTGCATGAAATGCTTGTCTAGCTCAAGTTGTAAGCATGATAGGTTAACAGGTAATAATTATAGATTGTCCTCCCAGTGTATTAACCTAAACTCTTTTCACTTCATTTACTTCGTGTAAAATCTTAGAAAAATCATGTAATACCTTAAGGAATCCTAGAAATCAAAGGTTTTAAATTACATTTCCAAGTTGCCTTCTTAAAGCATTTAAGATATATAATGCTCATTTTGTCTCCATTCTTTGCATGTATTGTCAAGAGGAGCAGTCCTTGGAGGACATCATGTTTAGTAAAGTTGTTATGGTTAAGTGCTGTTGAGTCGGTTTCAACTAATAGCCACTCTGTATAAGGTTTCTGAGAAATGACTGGTGAGCTTGAACCACCGACCTGGCAGTTCAAACCTACTTTACAGTCCACTGCATTAATCATCAGTACCACATCAGGACTCTGGTAGCGTAGTGGTTACAGTCAGGCTGCTAACTCAGAGTAAGCAGTTCAGAACTGCCAACCGTTCTGTGGGAGAAAAGTGAGGTATTCTGTTCCCATAAAGATTTACAGCCTTGGAAACCCTATGCAGGGTCACTATGAGTCGAAACTGATTCCATAGCACACCACTACCACCACCTAGTAAAGTGGAGGGTCAACAAAAAAGCGAAAGACCACCAACAAGATGGATTGTCACAGGGGCAGCATCAATGGGCCCAACATTAACAATGGTTAAAATGGTGCAAGACTGGACAGCGTTTTGTTCTGTTGTGAAGAAAGTCACTATGGGTTGGAACACACTTGGTGGTACCTAACAATAATAACAACCATCTTAAAGAATCCTACAAATCAAAACATTTTAATTAAATTTCAAAGTTGCCTTCTTAAAACATTTGCGTCATATAGTGCTCAGACTTTCCTTATTTATTTGTTCTGTTTAAGTGTATTGGGCATATTAGTTTTCTTTGCTTTTTTTCTCCTTTTATTTACACATAAGCACTTTTATCTTACTAAAATTTTGGTCTATTAGCATCACAACTTACCTTGCATATTGAATTGCTTTAAATGTATTTGTTAGGTCCCCACCACGTTGGTATGTGCGGGATGCTGCTTCTGTCAATTCAGCTTTGGTTTTATAAGTATTCAGATTAAACACAACTCTTGGATCATTGCCATATTGAATTAATCCCACCTTCAAAACAGCAGAAATTGATTACTGGAATGTCATTGAGTTATAAATAATTCCTATTCAACCAATATAATCAAAATCAAAAGTACATTGAACTGATAGCTTAAGAGAATCACTTTCAATTTTTTTCTTAAGAATAGTTATTTTTCTTTCAGTGGAATGATTTCTTCTTTATTAGAGGCCATCCATATAAAATAGCCCTTATTGCCATGAAAGATGATGTGCTTATAGCTTACACTTTGGTTCTAAATATTTTAATTGTAGACTTTTAAGAACTATCAGATAGTATGTTAAATATAAATGAACACTAGAACAAGGTTCATAACAGGAGGGTTGAAATGATATAAGCAAACATAAATAATAAGGATAATTACATAATCAACAAAGAACAAAGAAACAGAGTTGAATACAAGAAAAATCAATGTACCAATAATAATGCAATAAACTTAGGTCTATTTGTTGTGCTACATGAAGATAGAGGGTCCTGACCTTCAGAAAATATGCCTCAGGGAAAGTCTTATGTGAGAGACAGAATGACTTCTCAACAAGGTTTCTGAAGACTTTTTCTAATCTTTTTAGATCAAGAGGGGAAGCGTTAAATTGCCAAGGAAAAGAGAACTTCATTTCAAACAGCACAATCATGCCTTTACACGATTATGCCTTCTGTTACTGCCAGCATTTCAGGCACTGATAGCACACTCTCAGCCTAGGCAATAGTGTTTCCAGAATGTTATTTTTGTTAGGTGCCATCAAGTTGATACCAACTCATATTGATCCCATATACAACAGAATGCAACAGTGACCAATGCTGGGCCAACCTCACAATTGTTGCTATGCCTGAGCCCATTGCTTCCACCACTGCCAATCTGTCATGTTGAGGGTCTTCCTCTTTTTCTCCAACCCTCCACTTTACCAAATATGATATCCTTCTCCAGTGACTAGTCCCTCCTGACAATATGTCACAAGTATGAGAGATGAAGTCTGGCCATCCTGGCTTCCAAGGAGCACTGTGGCTGTACTTCCAACACAGATTTATTTGTTCTTTTGGCAGTCCATGGTACTTTCAATATTCTCCTCCAACACTATAATTCAAATGTATCAATTCTTAAACACTTTTCTTTATTCACTAACTTCCACATGCATATGAGGTTATTGAAAATACCATGGCATGCGTCAGGTGCACCTTAGTCCTCAAACTGACATCTTTGCTCAACAGTTTAGACATCTTGTTCAGCAGATTTGTCCAATGCAGTATATCATTTGGTTTCTTGACAGCTGCTTCCATGAGTGCTGATGATTGATCCGAGCAAAATGAAGTCTTTGACAACTTCAATCTTTTTTCTATTTAACCTGGTGTTACTTATTGGTCCAGTGGTGAGGATTTTTGTTTTCTCTACACTGAGGTAAAACCCATACCATAGGCTGTGTTCTTTGATCTTCATCAGTAAGTATTTTAAGTCCTCTTTGCTTTCAGCAAGCAAGGAATATCATTGCTGATGTTTTATGTATCAAATCTGTTCTTCAGATGATCTCTAAATTTAGGTGGGATATATTCAAGGTCATATTTTGGCTCTCGTGGACTTGTTTTCATTTTCTTCTGTTTCAGTTTGAATTTGCATATGAGTAATTGATGGTATGTTCCAAGGTCTGTTCCTGGCCTTGTTTTCACTGACCATATAGGGCTTTTCCATCTTCTCTTTCTGCAGATATAGTCAGTTTTATTTCTATGTTTTCCATCTGTTGAGGATCATGTGTATAGTTGTCTGTTATGCTGGCTAAAGAAGGTATTTGAAATGAACAAATCATTGATTTTGAAGAATTCTATCATGCGTTCTCCAGCATCATTTCTTTCACCAAGGCCATATTTTCCAACTATTGGTCCTTCCTCTTTGTTCCCAACTTTTGCATTCCAGTCACCAGTAATGGTCAATACAGCTTGATTGTATGTTTGATCAATTTCAGATTGAAGAAGTTGGTAGAATTCTTCTATTTCATCCTCACTGGCTTTAGTGTTTGGTGTGTAAATTTGAATAATAGTGGTATTAGCTAGGCTTCCCTGTAGGCCCATGGATATTATCCTATCACAGACAGCATCATACCTCATGACTGATCTGGATATGTTCTTTTTGACAATGAATGCAACACCATTCCTTTTCAATTTGTCATTCCCGGCATAGTAAACCATGTTGTTGTCAGATTCAAAATGGCTAATACCAGTCCATTTCAGCTCACTAATGCATAAGATATCGATGTTTATGCGTTCCAGTTCATTTTTGACAACTTCCAATTTTCCCAGATTCGTACTTCGTACATTCCATGTTCTGATTTTCAATGGATGTTTACAGGTGTTTCTCTTCATTTTGAGTTGTGCCCCATTAGCAAATGATGGCACTGCAGGCTTTTCTTCCACAAGCTTTACTCCATTCGCATTATCACGGTCAACTCTACTTTGAGGAGGCAGCTCTTCCCTAGTCACATTTTGAGTGCCTTCCAACCTGAGAGGCTCATTTTCTGGCACTATATCTGACAGTGTTTTTCTGCTATTCCTAAGGTTTTCAGTGATTAAAGATTCAGAAGTAGTTTGTCACTCTTTCTTCCTACTCTGTCTTTGTCTGGAAGCTCATCTGAGACCTGTCCACCATGAGTGACCCTTCTTGTTATTTAAAATACCGATGGCATAGCTTTCAGAATCACAGCAACTCACAAGCCACCACAGTACGACAAAATAGCAGACAAGTGGTGGTCATTTGGTTTTAAGTGGAAACTGTCACTTTAAATTTCGAGGAGATCTTTGTGTATGGGTAGTAGAACCTTTCAGGGGTGAGGGTGGGCTATCCATTTGCTCAGGCATTCCCTCTAGTCACCAGAAAGGAGGTGCGCAGACAGCAAGAGACCAATGAACAGATACCAAAAAATGAATGTCCACACCTGTATCTCTGCAGTTCTGCCAGACATTCGTGGCTATTCTGATCCTTCCCCTGCTTGATCTCACCCAAGATGGCAGCTCCGGGAATAGCTGAGCATCTTGAATTAGAAAGCAATGTATTTCTTGATTCTGCTGCAAATTCCCTTAGCTGTAAGTCTTCCAATCTTCTAAGTATTCCTTTATATGTGGTTCAGAGTTGTAGCACCATCCCCTGGCCCAGTATTTTGTGTTGTTGCTGATGGAGCTCCTCAATGCACGTGTACTTGATCCACTGTCTTGATTGTTGGCTGTTATTGTTGTTAAGTGCCATTGAGTTGGTCCGACCCATAGTGACCCTGTATAGGGTTTACAAGGAGCAGCTGGAGAGCTTAAACCACCAACCTTGCAGTTTAAATGACTTTGCAGTCTGACACATTAACCCACAGCACCACACCAGCGCTGATTGTTGGCTAGGCACTGAAAAATGTTATATTCCTTGGCTACTCTCTTTGGGATAGAATAGTATGACTTAAGAGAGAAAAAAAGGCCCAAAGTAACTGAGAATATCAAAGTCTACTATGACAGAGAGAAAGTAGTCACTCCTATGACACAATGTTTGTGTGACAAAGAGGAAGGCAGAATAAATGAGTAAAGAAATGTGGTTTATTGAGACTTACAGAGAGATCAAATTAAGTTGTAAGAAAAGACACTGAGTTCAGTCAGAGAGGAATAAGGTACATTGGGGTCTGGTGACACAGAAGAAGAAACATGAATTCCATATGAAAGATTATTAAATAAGGTAAGTCATGTTATGGGGGCAGACCATGAAGAGTGAGAGAAACAGGTACATATGAAAACTTCTCTCATGAGGGACCTTTAACAGTGATCTCCAGAGTCCAGTGCTAGGTTCAATCTTATCTATCAGAAACCTTCAAAGTTTGAGTGGATGTTAATGTCCTTTAGTACTGAAAAGCAATAACAATGGAAACAACAACAACAAAAATAGACAAACATGTAACAATATTTTTACAGTGTAAGAAAGTAGAATAGTACATTTTATGAGAAAGCACTTAGGGAACATAATTATAAAGCATTTAGCGAGACATGGTGCAAAAATGACCACTGACTATGTGTTGTATATTGGATGGAGCATCAGCATTAACCCAGGAATATTAACTGGAACTATGGAAACTGGTCCTTATGATATTGGTTTAATGTGCTGCTAAAATTAGAGTGACAGACAAAATGGCAGATTGAATCAAATTGGGTAAAAAACACAATGGAAAAGTTTTAATTGATGATATTCACTCTATAGAAACACAGAGCTTTAGCTCCTGAATTGTGGTTGTCTACCTCAATATGATATAAAAGCAGATTAATGATTTCTGAAAATATAGGCAATCATACAGACTTATTAAAAACTATTCTGGGAAGAAAAAAAATAGAAGTTTCTAGAACAGAATATGGTCAACTACTACAAAGTTATAAATGATAAAGTTATGCTATCTATGGACTTATTTGTAAAATTCCCAGAATTCAAGGATGACTTTTTACCAACAAGACACAATTGGACTATTATTAGTAGACGTGGTCATAAAGGAAAAAAAAATACAGATGAGGAGGTGTCAAATTGTAGAAAAATTTCATTATCTTTTAATTCCATTTTTCAAACTTTTTGAAGCCCTGAATATTGAATTAAAAAATATATTGATAACTTCATGGGTTAATGGGGGGAAAATCACTATTTAAATAAAGCTATATGTATCAAGCAAGAAGCTCTGGTAGCGTAGTGGTTACGAATCGGGCTGTGAACCTTAAGGCCAGCAGTTTGAAACTACCAGCCGTTCCGCTGGAGAAAGATGAGGCTTTCTGTTCCCGTAAAGATTTACAGCCTCGGAAACCCTGTACAGGGTCGCTATGGGTCGGAACCGACTCGATGGCACTTAACAACAACATGGTATCATATCCCATACTCTGGATACTTGTGTCAGAAATAGAAGCCTCAGCTCAAAAGACTAACATTGGGCAGAGTCCTATGTAGAAGAATCAAATACAGAACAGCTTTCATTTAATTTTCAAGGTTATCTTCAATGCAATTGATACTGAGATTTGACACCTGTAAAAATTAAGACTTCGTATGTGATAATATTTTCTCAGAAAGAAAGTTGTGGAGAAGTGTAATGTGTTATTGATATCCATACCTGTGTCTTTGTGGGGCCTATATCCAGGCCTTGTACAAACTTTTCTAGGAAATTCTTTACCGCCTCCCACGGATAAATACTATTTGATTCGTCACACACAACCACAACATCTATGAGGGAAGGACAAGCTACAGAGGAAAAGATGAAAGAAACAAATTTCCATCAGTATAAATCAGTTGTCGCAGTTGATTCTGATTTATGGACACCCCATGCTCTGGTAGCGTAGTAGTTAAGAATCAGGCTGCAAATCGCAAAGGTCAGCAGTTCAAAACTACCAGCTGTTCCGCCGGAGAAAGATGAGGCTTTCTGCTCCTGTAAAGATTTACAGCCTTGGAAACCCTGTAAAGAGTCGCTATGAGTCTGAATTGACTCCACAGCACATAACCACCACCAACCACCAAGACACCGCTGGGTGAAATCTAATTGTCAACCTTTTGGTGGTATGCTTAGCCCTTTGCACAACCCGGGGACTCCAAATCAAACTTTATGGCCATATAAAATGAGACTTCAAGTAAAACTGAATTGGTGGGTGAGGTAACACTTATTGATAACTTTTCTCCCATTCTTTTAATGGTAAGATAGTGCCCTCTGTGTATTCATTACTTACTCTGAACTGCAGGTGAAAAGCTGGTCAAGTGTTGAAAATCAGGACCGACCTCAGAACAAACTCCCGCGGTGTAATACTGATTTCCACACTGCTGTGCCCACAAGGGACCACATGTCTTCAAAGAAAGGAGAACAACAAAAAACACAATGAGAATGCTAGTTCTCTACCTCTCCATTTGTGAAACTTAGAAAGCTTTTCTATTCTTTCATAAGATGCTAGAAATCATCAACTCTTGAAATTCTCTAGTTAAAATTGCCTTTGAGGGAGTGTGCATTGTAACTGAAAACCTGTTCAAAGGAGAAGGTGGTAGAAATGCTATGCACAGCAGAAGGACTATTAGGGGTAGGGGACGACACAGGGAAACCTTCAGGCCACCCACCAAGATAAAAAAAAGGGGTGCTTCTTTTCCAAAGTTACCTCTAAGGAATACAAGCACCGATTCTTTCGTTTATGTCTCAGGTAGCTGGCCCTCAGGTGTCTCACTTGTAAAATGGGTAAAACCATGTTGTTGTTAAGAGCCTTTGAGTCACTTCTGACTCATAGCGGCTCTGTATAGACTTTCCAAGGAGTGGTCTGAACCACCGACCTTGCAGTCTAGCACATTAACCCACAGCAACACACTTCCTATCTTTTAAGGTTGTTAAGATTAAATGGGTCTATAGATTTAAAATAGTTCAAACACAGACAAATGCTGGATAGATAATACCCAAACCCAACCCATCCCACTGCCATTGGGTCAATTCCAACTCATAGTGACCTAGGGAAGAGTAGACTTGTCCCATAGGGTTTCCAAGGTTATAAATCTTTATGGAAGTAGATTGTCCTGGCTTTCTCCCACAGATTAGTTGAGTTCACGGATTTTTTGGTTAGGAAGTGCTCAACCACTGAGCCGCCAGAGTTCTTTGGGTAAATAATAAGTGCCATATAATTGTTGAAGTCCCAGTACGATGCTGCCAGATAAGCACTGAACTGCTAACCATAAGGTTGAAGGCTCAAACCCACCAGCCATTCCTCGGAAAGCCTATACAACGCCGCTATGAGTTGGAATCGGCTCAATGGCACTTAACACCACCGCCAATATAATCGCTAGCCAGTATCATTAGCATTACTGTTGTTGACTATTGGTTTTCTGCTGCATCTTTCACTCACGCTATACCTGGGCACATCAAAAAGTATTGCTACAAATTCACACAATACACTCATCAGTGCGAACTAGACCCTCTGTTCCTAGATCCTCCAATTTTTCAAGGAGAGTCTGAAAAATAATATTTGAAAATTCAAAATTCAATAAAAACAAATAACCTATATTAGGAGCTCTGGTAGCGTAGTGGTTACGAATCGGGCTGCGAACCTGAAGGTCAGCAGTTCGAAACTACCAGCAGCTCCGCGGGAGAAAGATGAGGCTTTCTACTCCCGTAAAGATTTACACCCTCGGAAACCTTGTACAGGGTCGCTATGGGTCGGAACCGACACGACGGCACTTAACAACAACAACAACAACAACATATTGGATCAATTAACACAGACAAGGTTCAATGACTGCCAGTTTTAACTCTGTTATAAAGTATTTCTTTGTTTTGAAGACTTCCAACCATTTTTCTTTAAATGCCATTTGTTGACAACGCATATGTCAGAGTAAAACTGTTCTCAATTTTAATGGCTAAATTTTTTTGTTTTTTTTAAGTTGGCAGGTCTTTCTTCCAAGGTGTCTCTGAGTAAACTCAATCCTCCAACCTTTAAGTTAGCAGCTGAGCACATAAATCATTTGCAACACCCATGGGATCCTTTAGAGTCCCCTTATTTCTACTTCCTAAAAGTAGGAGCCAGCAAAGCTGTCTGGCATTTGTCTTCTTGCGCATGTTCCACATACTCTGATTCTTAATATCTCCATTAACCCAACCCCAGTTCTTCCATTAAGCAACCCTTGAATGGTAAGAACTAATGAAATCACAGTGACATCAATGAGAAATGTGGGGAACATTAAATTAAACCATATTAAAATCACTAGGTGTTAAACGAGAAAAGCAAGAAAGAGAAGTCTATTCAAGATCCCCCCAAAATATGTATGAAGTTAACATTATGTAAAGCTGTAGATTAATTATTATAACGAGTAGAAAGTTATAAGAAGCCAGTGAAAGAATTTTAAAATATTTTTTTGAGGGGGGGGTGCCTGTTTAACTATTGGTAGCTCAGTAGGGAAGCAGTTGTTCTCATAGTTCATGCTCCATGGACAAGAGCCCCCATTTGTTATTTTTCTCTCCCCTATCGTGCCCCCAACCAAGTTGTTTATTTTAGAGCTTTTTGTTTTTATTACCCTGAGAAATAATCACTCAAAAAATTATTTTTTTAAATAATGAAAAACAGCATTAAGTCGTTGAAATTAGAAAATGCCAATTGTTAATGCCAGAACCACATTTCTTTTTTAAGCCCAGAATTTAAGAGGGAAAAAAAAAAAGGTGATGATTTTCTTTTCCACATAATTCTTCACATTTTGACCTTTTTGGTATGATTTTTTTTCCCCCTTTTCTTTCTGGTATGATTCTTTTCCCCCCTTTCTTCTGTCTTTTTCTCCATTCTTCCCTCAACTGTGAAATTCTTTTCTCAAAGTCTTTTGCAATTGTATTTTACTTCATCTAGAGTTAAAGATTAAAAACTTTAAAGCATATAATGTAATCCTCAAATCTCAATATGATCCTCTTTCTGAATTTACTCAAGTCTAAAAACATACAAGGAAACAAATGAATAAATAAAAACAATGCTATTAATCAAGATGTTGGAATATTATAAACCATAAATAAGATCCATTGAAACCCTAATTTATGCAATGAAATAATTTTTATTCTTAGTAATACCTGATCTACTTGCTGTTGTGAGGTGCCATCGAGTTGCTACCGACTCTTAGGGACCCCATGCACAGCAGAAGGAAACACTACCCAATCCTGGGCCAACCTCACTACTGTTGCCACATTTGAGTCCATTGATGCTGCCACCTGGCCAATCCATTTTGTTGGGGGTCTTCCTCTTTTTCTCTGATCCTCCACCGTACCAAACATGATATCCTTCTCCAGTGACTGGTCCCTCCTGACAATATGTCCGAAGTATGAGAGACGAAGTTTGGCCATTCTGGCCCCCAAGGAGCACTCTGGCTGCACTTCTTCCAAAACAGATCTATTGGTACTTTTGGCAGCCCATGGCAATTTCATGAGAGGAATGAGGATTAGAAAGTAAACACTCACGAGAAACCCTCCAGTCCTTATGTTCCTTGTGAGGGTCAAGCCGAGGCTCATGTTGGTTTTCATCTCAGTAACGTTTGGAATGTTGGTTGAAGCTTTAAAAGGGGAGAAAAATTTGAAAGTGATTACATCTTTACCTGTTTGCTGAAAATTGTTTTAAAAAAAGGGAAAAAAAAAAAAAAAAGACAAACCAGCGGCAATATGAAGCATTGAATTTAGTGTCAGAGATCCAGTGTTTACACTGTACAATAAAGTATGTGGTGGTGGTGGTAGATGTGTGCCACTGAATTGGTTCTAACTCACAGTGACCCTGTGTAGGGTTCCCAAGGCTGTAAATCTTTATGGGAGCAGAAAGTTTCATCTTTCTCCTGAAGAGCAGCTGTTTGATTGGAACGGCTGAACTTCGAGGTTAGTAGTCCAACTTGGAACCACTACACTACCAGGCTCCTTAAATAATAAGGTATATGTTGTTGTTGTTAAGTGCCGTCCAGTCGGTTCTGACCCATAGCGACCCTGTACAGGATTCCCAAGGCTGTAAATCTTTATGGGAGCAGAAATCCTCATCTTTCTCCCACAGAGCGGCTGGTAGTTTCGAACTGCTGACCTTGAGGTTCACAGCCCGATTCGTAAACACTACTCTACGAGAGCTTCTAATAAGGTATATGATCTCATGGAAATGAGATGCTGTCAATGATCTGGAAGCCTACATATTAGGGAGGAGTGGTACCTGGGGAAGGAACAACATTTAGACATTCAAATGAATATGAAAACAAACAAGCAATGGTCTGACTACAGAAAACACATCTGAAGACAACATTAGGTTCCTCCCTTTTAGCCCCTGCTCTTTCTAAGGTCATGATGACTTTTTGTCTCCATCAATAAAAACATTATTCAAATGTTACCAAAGCATACTATATGACAAAATCTAGATGAAAGCAATAGTGGGTACTTTTTAAAACAGAAGTTAAGAGACTAGCCACATAAAATAAAAAATAAATCTCGACAACCTCCTCTCTACCACTGAATTAAGTATTGCCCACCAGAGCTCTCCTTGAGTTACTGAACAGTGTAATTCTCCTCAATATCATTATTTACTCATGTTCTCTCACTTCTATCAGGTCATCTTTGCTACTTCTCTTTTTCTTTACTTCCCTTCTTTCCCAAAATTATGACTTCAAAACTTTATCTTTCCCCTTAAGTCTTCAACCTCAGCCAGGGTTCCATCACTATTAGGAAACAACCTGTCTACTGCAACAAAACATGAATCACACTCCAAGAAGAGCCTCAACATCCCCCATCTCTAACTAAAGGCCATTCTCAGTACTCATCCATTTTATCTTCTTCCTTTATAACTTAGAGAGGTAGCAGTTTGTCTAAGACCTGTTTTCCCATGCCCCAGTGAAATTAATCCATTGTCTAAATCTATCCTGAACTAATAGTCACTACATTTTCACTCTCCTTCCATTCTCCCAACAAATAAGATAATTTCCTTTACTTTTACCAGGTTTACTTTCATTCCTTGTAACCTGTTCACTACTTACCCACCACTAAATTCTTGGTAATCTATTTTCTCCCCTCAACACCATTGAGTTTATACTCTAGGCCAGCAAGTTACAAAAAAGATGATGCACTGGGGTACAGAAAGACGTTATGTGTGTATTTTAATTCATTTATTTTTAAGTAAATGTGTCATTCGAAGATGTCTGTGCCTGGATGCTTGGCATGGCACTGCAGGATAAGCAATGGACTGTGAATCCACCAGCCACTCCTTGGAAACCCTACGTAGAGTCGCTATGAGTCAGAACTGACTCGAGGGCACTTAACAGAAACAATAACCACAAAATGTTAGCGCATGTATATAATTAAACAATAAAAATGTGGGGTGAATGTACAGATTTCTGCAAGTAATGAGCAAAAAAAATCATCTAAGAACTGTTAGAGATCAGACTACAGTCTGGGAGTCCAGGTACATGCTAAATCAAACTACATTGGAAATTTGCTAAATCAAACTACGTTAGAAATTTGAGATAGAATGTGGTTACGAATCGGGCTGCGAACCTTAAGATCAGCAGTTTGAAACTACCAGCCACTCCACAGGAGAAAGATGAGGCTTTCTGCTCCCATTAAGATTTACAGCCTCAGAAATCCTATACAGGGTCGCTATGGGTCGGAACCGATTCGACAGCACTTAACAACAACAACAAAGACATAAAAGCAAACAACCTGCCCATTTTGCTGTTGCTTTTCAGTTGGATATATAGCACATCAGATTTTGTTATTTGTAAATCACACTGCTGATTAGAACTTACTTTGCAAATTCAGTTTTTCACATGTAGCAGTGGGTAGATCAACAGGACATTTGTACACATCTCCCATTCGGTTCTTAGGGAAGCCACTCCAAGGGGAGCCAACCAGTAACCTACAAAAGAAAGGTTATTTTCATTAGACATAAAATTTAAACTAAAAGTTTGTTGTTGTTTTTTAAAGATAAAACTGTCCATGAAATAGCAAATGCCATATTTACATTCAATTTTTTTATAAGTGACCAGTTCATATTTGTTCACCTATTTGGCCCTGTTTTCCTTGCCTTTTAGCTAATCAAGATCCTTAAGCAGTGCTTACAATACACTTGTTTTGCCATAACACTGTGCTTGGGAAAGGGCTCCTTCTAAAGTAGTACTGTTTAAGATACATATAATGCAAGTCAGAAATGGGGGCCATATATGTCACTTTGCATTTTCAAGAGCCTAATTTAAAAAGTCCCGGTGTCGTGCTGTTGGATAAGCTTTTAGCAAGATCAGTGGTTCAAACCCACCAGAAACTCTACACAGGGACACTATGAATTGGAACCAAAGGCACTTAACAACAAAATGACAATAAAATAAAAGGAAACAGGTGACAATAATTTTAGTAATGTATCTTATTTAGCTCAATAGATCCAAAATAGTATGTAACCAATCAAGGACATTAATGAATTAGTTTACATTCTTTATTCTTTTTGGTACTAAATCTTCAAAACTTATTTTATACTTAGAGAACATCTCAAAGCACATGAGCAACACTCAACTGTTCAAAAACCACATGTGGCTAGTTACAACCACTAACATTTTTTTTTTTTTTTGAGTCTTTTCTATGCCCAAGATATTCCATATGTTAATTCAATTGTTTAAGTGGGTTTATGTGTATGGAAGACCATCAATGAAATGAAATGGTACACTGTGTGCAACATGAGTTCACATGTAGGAAAGATTGGGAGGAGAATGCAGGAATGAGCAGTGTTTCATTCTATTGTACACAAGGTCGCTATGAGTTGGAATTGACTTGACAGCACCAAACAACAACATGTCTATGGTCAGTAACAAGGGATCCTGAGAAAAAATGCAGGGTGGATTAACTAGGGTTCTCCTCTTAGGTATACCAGTGTATATATAACTGGATCACAAAATGTAGAGGACAGAGAAACCAGGGCTCACATCCTTCCTTTAGTCTCACTTGCTACTGATCTTCTCTCACCAGGCCTCCATTTTTCCCTACAGAAACTTATTTGATATTTCTGGCCAGGGAAGAAGGGTCAGAAAGAGCCTGTCTAACAGACTGACTTTCACAAATGGTAGCCGGTCAATTACTCAACACTCAATTGCTTCAAAAAAAAAAAACGTGTTTGCTTCAATAGTCTTGTGAAAGCTAGAAAGGATTAGGTTTTCTAACTGTGAAACTGAAACTATTTTATAAGCCTTTTGTATAAATAGCTTATCATTCTCAGTTAAACAGTACTGAGATGTGTCACATGATATATGCTATGGTGGATACAAAGGAGACTAAAGTATATTTCTGTCTAGTATATTTTACACTATATAACTAGTACAAAAATAGCAATACAGAGAATAATATTAAAGTGATAAAAGGCTTCAAAGATGAGTCTTGAAAAATGAATACGGTGGCTGATATTAGAAGGAACAGCAAAAGCAATCATGGAAGGCGAAAGTACTGGTTATTTTGCAGAAACCGTTGTAAATTGAATATTAAGCTGCTCTCCTCATTTATGTGATAACATAAACCTATTCTCACACTCATTTAGAGCATGCTTACTTTAATTCCGTTAACTCTAATTCAAGCTGCAGTTGATAGAAAAAGTATATATAATATATATATGTGTGTGTGTGTTGTGTGTCTGTGTGTGTGTTTATTGTGAATTAAGTGATAGTTTACATAGGAGAACATAGGTTTTACACTCATTTCGTTTCATTGCAAGGATTACAATCCCTCCATGCATCATCATTCAACAGTATTTGCTTCTATTTCCTCTGGGTTTTGTGTTTCTTTTTTAATGTACACAAAAACACTCAGGAATTTATAATTATTCAAACAACCTAAGAGCACATTCTGCAAGCATGCCTCCTGATAGGCAGCATATAGGCTTTCTTTTTCCATGAGTCTGGAGTCCTCAGCTGCTCCATCTCTCCATATCATCATCTCTGCCTCCATCTCTTTTTGTCTTCTTCTTGTTTGTGTTGTTAAGTGCTTTTGAGTCAGTTTTGACTCATGGCAACCCTGTATAGGGCTTTCAAGGAACGGCTGGTGAATTTGAACCACTGACCTTGCAGTTCAAACTGATCTTGTGGTCCAGGGTGTTATCCCACAGTGCCACACCAGGACTTCTTATAAGCATATAATTTCACATAATTAATCCATTAATACTTTACCCATGTTGTTGTTGAGTGCTGTTGAGTTGGTTCCAACTCATAACGACCCAGTATATGGTTTCTGAGGAGTGACTGCTGAGTTTGAACTGCTAACCTTGCGATCCAGTGCTTAAATTATTCCAACTTTTTGCTAAAGATAGAAATAGAAATACTGACTTTTGTGAAGTCCCAGTATTCACTCTGATGGAGGAAGAGACTCAGTAGCTACATATGGAGTGTATGTTTGAAAATATCTGCTGGTCTTCAAATTTACAACTGACAGGAAATTGGACTCCTGGTGTGGTGCAGTGGACTAGACTGCAAACCACAGGGTCAGTAGTTGAAACCTACCAGTTGCTCCTTGAAAACCCTATACAGTGTCACTATGAGTCAGAATCGACTTAAAACTAACAAGAGGAAATTAGGAAACTGACATTGTCAAAGACATTGTACAGTGAAAACTGTCCTCCAATAGCTAATTTTCTCAATCCTTAGTCTTTTTGCCACAATAGGATGACACAGAACTACCTCTGATTTTTGTATGCAGAACACATCTGAAAGTATAAGTTGTTGTTGCTAAGTGCTGTCAAGTCGGTTATGACTCATAGTGACCCTGTTTAGGGTTTCCGAGGTGTGGGTGGTGGGTCTGAACCACAGACCTTGTAGTTCAAACCAACCTTGCAGTCAAGTTCCTATCCTACAATGCCACATCAAGACAGACAGATAATTGGGCTGCTGCTTACTTCTCCAATCCTCTCTTTTTCCACGCATCTTCCTAAAGCTCTATGTTTTAGTCTTCTTGAACTCAGTTCCTCTGCCAAATCAGGGTCTCTCTTGCTGCTAATACTCCATACATGCTGGTAAGTTCTACTCATTAGTTAGTTTGATCACAAGACAACACTTCCTCCAGGAAGTCTCCCCAACAATTACAAATAGGCCTTTCCTGAGGACTTCCACAACACCTGAGGTTTACTTGGTCCAGTTTTTATCACATTGATCTGTAATTGTCTGTCAGTGACTAAATGCCCTCCTCCCCCTCCCCCAGAGAAGAGAGCTCCGTTGGAGTAGGAGTTATGTGCTTGACAAAGGTTTGTTGTTGTTGCTCAGTGCCTTCGAGTTGGTCCCTACTCATAATGACCCTGTAGCTCTGGTAGTGTAGTGGTTATAAATTGGGCTGCTAACCTCAAGGTTGGCAGTTCTAAATTATCAGCTGTTCCATGGGAGAAAGATGAGGCTTTCTGCTCCTGTAAAGATTTACAGCCTTGAAAACCCTGTGCAGGGTCACTATCAGTCGGAACCGACTCCACGGTACTTAACAACAGCAACAAGTTTACCAGGGAGTTTGAACCATCGACCTTGTGGTTCAAAGCAATCTTAGGGTTTCAGGGCTTTAGCCAACAGCACCATACTTCTTGAAGACATGAATGGAATAAAAAAACAAACGAACAAACATGTGAATGGATGATTCCACAGTATTATTTAAAATTCTGTTCAGCTGAGGAAAAGTTAAGTAGAAAACTCCTTAATTTTTATCCTATGGTAGTGCATGATTTTTTATCAAGTAAAAGTCAAAAAGTAGAGGTAAAAAAAAAAAAAAAATCAACCAAGTTGAAAGCAAAGCATTATGCTGTTATTGTTCTATGGTAGTTGTTTCTATTCAGCCAGCCTCCAATCATCTACTATGTATCAAACTTGTTTTTAAAACAAAAGGTGACTGTAGGGTGTGTATAGAGAACAAAACAGATCTTATAGCTAGAAGCTATCATCAGACTTTTGACTCTGGCCCATGACATGCTGGGTATTCCTATAATTATAACAAATTTGACTACAGCCTGGCACTGTGTGTGGTATTTTCCAAACAGTATCCAACATAACAAAAAAAATGAGCCAGATAAATTTTACTATCTTCTTTCCACTGAAAAAGCCAGCTGCTGTTCTGACTCATGGCAACCTCATGTGTTGCAGAACAGACCATGGCTGTGACCTTTCCAAAGCAGATGGCTAGCCCTGTTAGTAGCTGACCACTTAACTGTTTATACCACCAAGGAGCCCTGGTTGCTGGCACAAATGGTTAAGTGCTCAGCTACAAATTGAAAGGCTAATGGTTTGATACACAAGGAAAACTTGATGGTCTGCTTCCATAAAGACTGCTGTGTGTGTCGAATTGGTTCCAACTCATAGCTACCCTATATAGGGTTTCAATTCATCATGGGAGCAGAAAGTCTCATATTTTTCCCACAGAGCAGCTGGTGGATTCAAACTGTTGACCTTGTGGTTAGCAGCCCAATGCATACCCCACTATGCTACCAGGGTTCCAAGATTACAGCCAAGAAAATGTCATGGGACAGTTTTTCTCTGCCACAGGGGTCGCTGTAAGCAGAAATCAAGCAGACAGCATCTAACAACAGCATCTCCATTTTATAAATCGAGTAACTGAGATGGAAGGAAGTGAAAAACTTACTAAAGTTCACTTACTCAAGAGGCTGTTGAGGACCAAGCTCAATCTTTAGGGCATTCTCCTTACTCTTAGAAGCAAGAAGGCCTGGCATAAGGCCCATACTGGGGAAACTATCTGAAGGGATGCCTTGGCTTTCAGAAGCAGTAAGGTGAAAAGCCAGGAAAAGAAAGGTCAGGCCACATTTATTATGATAATGGGTGTGGCTGTGTGCTGTGTAGGAACACCAAATTCAGACACATTCATGACCCTCCTTCTATGCGAGCGAGCTTATGCCTGCCA